CCCCCCCCTTGCCTACATCACTGATGGTCTGAAGGTGAGGTGGAATCTTGTTCAGAGAGTCCCAACTTTTAAGATGCAGTCAACTCAGTTGATGAACCTGTTTGAAGCTATATTGGCATGCTGCTCTTTAATGAAAACAATATATCTTACCTAAGTATCTTTTATTTATCTTACAAAATTTAAGCTATTATTTTTTCCAGAAATATACCATTGAATGTTGTGCATTTTTATTTGAACCTAAAATACACAAATGGATAAAAACTACACTTACAGATTCAGTATCAACTTTAGATTTTGACTTGAAAATCAATAATTCAGACAATGGTCCAAGGTATGTCATGGCTGAGTAAAATAAAAAAATTAAGATCTTTTTGAAACAAAAAAAGGTTTAAAAAGGATTTTAAATTAAATATGGTTTAATTGCTTGTATCAATTAATTTAATGTATTAATATTTTATTACTAAAATAGAATTTTTAAGTTTCAGATTAAAGATGCCTTTGACAAAGTTACCTTGTTGAATTTCTAAAAGGAGATTAGCAGTGGATTCTGACAAATCTTGCTTGTTACTGTCTATAGAAACCTGAAAATCACACAATGGCAATCATTTTTTATTTAACATGGTCAACACAAAAAATAAATTCTATGGTCAGTTCTGTCACAAATCCTTGAGGATTTGGACAAGTTGGAAGCTGAGAGTCAAAATAAAAATTCAAAAAGTAGGTAAAAATGGACTAAAAAAACTTTCAAAATTAATAGCTCTGAATATAATTAAAATAAAACTGTTTAAAAAAGACTTAAAGGATTTACAATTTTTTTTAGATGAGAGGGGCTGGGTGAAGTGGTAGAGCATAAGCTTGTTAAGCCAAAAGTGAAGAGTTTGGTTTCTAGCACAAGTTAGTTGAAATAATCCTCCTCCTCTGATGGGTATCTGACCTAATGGCTGACCAGGTAACTGATTTATGTCAGGGTCACTAAACAGAGACTGGGGTTGTGGTTTATACTATGGGACACCATTTAGATGACAACATTAAAATAACACCTTGCAATGACTGGGAAAGGGGTGAAGACTAAAAAATTAAATAAAATATTTTTCTAGGTGGGGGGAGTTGCTACACTTGGTGGTGACTAACATTATAATGCCAGTGTCAGCATTGCAAAAACAAGAAAACTTTATTTTGACTTCCAACATGGACCATCAGCATTGATAGTACTCTTTTAAAAATGATGGTTCATGGAGTAGGTATAGTAGAGTTCACCTATTATAATTACCCCAGCGTATAAGGAAATACTGTGGTCAACACCATGCCAAGCCATCTTTTTTTTCCCTAATGTGAGTCAGGTACCCCTCAGAGCTGGATATACTCAAGGACACTCTACGACTTGAAAGTGGGATTTAAACTCGAGACTTTTGGGTTAGCAATCATATGCTCTACCATCAGATCATGGAATCCCATTAGATTGATAAGGTTGACAATATTACTACATCTATTTCAGAGTAGTCCCTTAGTTACCGGTATAGTAGTCAGTGCTGTACCAAGGTGTGACCCCACATTCACTGTTGTTGTGATGGCCAGTTTAAACGTGTTCCCAGGGTATCTGATGTAAAAATCTGAGGCTGCAGATATTGTTCTATGGAAAAAATAATCTTCACCTAAACAAAACAAAGTAGATTGTTTCAGGTATTATAAGTTGAGATTTATAAAACTGCTGTGAAATCTGACACAATTTACATAATCTACGAGTAACATTCATGTTTAAATACAAAAATTAGTAAATTTATTTAGTCATCCAGAAAGTAATAAAACAAATTAAAAACTAAATAATTGAACTGAAAATTCAGCTCTATCTTTAATGATGATCATACTGAGAATTCAACTTTCAAATGATGCCCCTCGTTCAATTTAGTCAGTAACCCACTGTATCCAAAGTATATGATGATATTTTATAACAAATGTAAGTGGCATAGTGCTCATGTGGGTGTCCGGGGTGCACCAGGTCATACCACCCCAGGGTGCACCAGGTCATACCACCCCGGGGTGCACCAGGTCATACCACCCCCAGGTGCCTGATTCAGTCATAAATTTTAGTCGCCCACTGTATCCCTTGTAAATGGCACTCTATAAAACTAACTAAGGCAATACAGTGTTCACAGTCGAGCCCAGGGCGCATTGGGTCTGGTTGGATTTAGTCAACAACTTTAGTAGGATAACATATCAAATGTGTAGGTAACATTTTAAAACAAGCGTTGGCACTATAGTGCTCTCAAGGGAGCCTGGATGTGCCCAATCAGTGGATTCCATATGCTAAGATAGATTCTGGGGAAATCTGGGCGCTAAATTGCACCCTTTTCAAGCACCCCCTGTCAGAAAGGTAATAATTTGCCAAGAGTAACCTGATCAAATTTCCAAAATGTTATGGATAAGTAACATATTGCACAGGGATACTTTCATTTAAATATATAGATTTACAGATATATATATATAGATATAACTAAATATTCGGTTAAGTGTTAATGCTTACCACTTAGACTGTATTTGCAAACAAAGGGGAGGTTATCATTTTCATAAGCCATGGACCACAACCCAGTCGCAGTGTCTATTTTCACAGCATTTCCTGCGCCACTGGGCTCATCTTGGTCCCAATTATAATAAGTGGTCTAGAATTGAATAAAAGTTTAGATTGAACACACTAATTTGAAAAAAAAATGTCAACAACAAAATATAGATTTTCTACAAAAATAAGATAAGTTTAGTTTGCAAAAAATATATTAGAAATCTTCAAATGACTTTGTAGTATACATAAAGCAAAAACAACATATGCCATTTTATAGAAAATGTTTTCAACAACACAGTTTTCACCCAACCAAATATTAGAACTAGACAAGCTTTTTTGTTATATTTTCATATTTAGTCATTATATTCTTACCTGTGAGTCACTTTGTACCCAAATGAATCTGCCAAGTTCTCTATAAAGACCTATCCACATATAGTACTTGTATGCTCTTGGCAGGATTCCTATAGTAAATATTTTCCTTCGATTCCTCATATATATGTATATATATATATATATATATATATATATATATATATATATATATATATATATATATATATATATATATATATATATATATATATATATATATATATATATATATATATACATATATATATACATATATATATATACATATATATATATATACATATATATATATATATATATATATATATATATATATATATATATATATATATATATATATATATGTATATATATATATATATATATATAACAAATACAATTTATTATAACATCAAGCTTATTGTATATATGCTGACTGATGTACACATTTTTCATTTTTTTAACATCAAGAACTATGTTTCAATACATTTAAATAGAAATAAAATGTTATTTAGATATTATCTTTGAAACATCTGTCTGCGTTTACCTTTGATGAATTCACTAGACTCATAAGAAGAAATCTCTACTAGATCACCCCCTTTTTTATCTTGACCACATCGCTTGCGGGCGTCTTCCCAGCTAGTAGATCCAGTGTAGAAGCGGATACAACCAGACCCTGACACATCATAACGCCATCCATAATCACAACTAGCTGTATTTTATAAACAGAAATAGTCAATGTATGCATTAGGACTAAACATTGTTTTGTCAAATTATGCAGCAAAGTTTTTATGTTTAAGCAAAACTATAATTTGTGAATAGTGAACTTATATACAAAGGCAACCTAGCATCTTCTAAAAAAACTTGCTAATGAATTATTTTTCTAGTTTTAAATATTTATTTTATTCTGATGCCTGGTTTAGATTTAGTTCAGTATCATTTATACAGAAAAAAAATTCTATTTCATACAATATTTTATTTTTAGCTAATGTCAGAGAAAATATATCTATATTGTGATTTACTTACTCACAAAACTCAATACATGAATGATAGGATAAGCAAGAATACTGCTTTTGAGAGAATAATGCAAGATGTTCAAGTCATATGTAGCAAATTTTACTTTTGGTCTAGTGGGGGCTGAAAAAACAAAATTATATTGAAGAATATAACAATTTAACAAATGTTTTAGCATAAGGTTGCTTTTTTTACATAAGGGGTCATCCATAAATGATGTCACGCCTTTTTGACGATTTTTACCTCCCCAACCCCTCCGTCACACATTGTCACAAAAAGCCAGACACCCCCCCCCTAAAATGACATCACAACTCAGCCTACAACCCCCCTCAAGTTGCAGTTGACAATTATTTTAAACATCGATTTTTTTCTAAAATTTTGTCTGAACTCTGTCAAAATAGTGTATTTTAATAAATTCCTTTTACAATTTATTAAAACAGTTTTCTAAAAATTATGGAACCCCCCCCCCCTCCCCCATACAAGTGTGACATCATTTATGGACAACCCCTAACAACTGTTGGTAACACACTAATAAAAGCTACAAACAATTGTAAGATTATGGCCATATCTTACTTAAACTAGTAAATATATTTTCATTAACTTTCTTCTTAATTTACTATGAATTTATAATTTTTTTATAACCAGATGTATAATAGTAACGTGGTTTGCAGAAGACAAACAATTTAAAAACAGGACCACACCAGAAAACAAAGTGTCTAACTCAAAAAAATATAAACATTTATTTAAAGGTAAATATTAAATAAAATACCTTTCTCTGTTAACACATAAGTTTCATTAATAGCTTCCAGATGGATTATGAGAGGTATAAAATATCTACAAGTTGACACTGATTCTATTTTTTCATGTTCAGATACAGTATAAGTAACTAAAAATAAAAAAGAAAGATTCTTATTACACTCAAGCATCTGCAATATTCATGTAATTTATTAAATAAATATGTTAGATATTTTGAATCATTATCGAATACTAGCTGTAAAAAAACAAACTTGTATCAGCTCTTCAATATTATATATATATATATATATATATATATATATATATATATATATATATATATATATATATATATATATATATATATATATGGCTACAGGACATTACCCCCCTGGATATTTCCCCCCCCCCCCCGTATTTACCCCACGGAGCAATTACCATCGGAGCAATTACCCCCCTGTGAATTACCCCCCCCCACCCCCCCCCCCCCCCCCCCCCCCCTCTCAAGTTAAAATCCTAACTCTAACTAGAATTTTATACCTATATACTACTTTAATCCAAACCTTAAGAAAAAGACCAAAACCTAAGCATCCACCTTAGCCTAAAACTTCACACAAAACCAAAACCAAAGCTAGACACAACCCTAACCCTAACCCTAACACTAGCTCTAACCCTAACCCTAACCCTAATCATAACGCTAACCCTAGCCCTAACCCTAGCCTTAACCCTAAGCCTAACCCTAGTCCTAACCCTAACCCTAGCCCTAACTCTAACCCTAACCCTAAACCTAACCCTAGCCCTTACCCTAACCCTAGCCCTAGACCTAACCCTAACCCTGTCCAGGGGGGGGGGGAGTGGGGGGGGGGGGGGGTAATGTCCTATTGGGCAGGGGGGGGGTAATTGACAGGGGGGTAATTGACAGGGAGGTAATTACTCTGGGGGGGTAATGTCAGGGGGAAATAATATCTGGGGGGTAATTGACAGGGGGGAAATGCCCTGTTCCCATATATATATATATATATATATATATATATATATATATATATATATATATATATATATTATATAAAACAACTTCAATATTTATTATAAATAATAAAAAATATTTTACTGTAAAGGTTCTTTTACATATTATACTGTCTTTTCTCTCTACACTGATTTAGACCAAGTGACTATATCAGTAAATTAAGAACCCACTACCAAGTATGTCACACACAAGGAAAAACTTGATTGCTAATTTAAAACAAGGCTTACATTTCAACTCCACAACAAATTCTGAAATCCCAGCGAGGTCAATTTTTTCAATATGTTGGTACAATGTATTCCCTTTCAAAACTGTCCTATCTTTTGACCTGTAAATTTAAATGCACCAGTTTGTTTATTTAATAACTTTAATTTAATATAAATATTTAATAACTTTTATTTAATATAAATTATTTAGTTTTTTTTATAAATCTAATTAAGCTATCCAAAAAGTATTTAAATATGCTATGCTTGTTTTGTATAAACATTTATAGAAATAGCCCAAGTATTGAGTTACTTAACATTTATCAGCATGTTGTATAAACAGTTAAAAGAAATTACCCAAGTATTGAATTAATTAACTAATATTTACCAGCCCATCCTTTAAAAATAAATAAAAAATATATAAAAATATAAAATAAATAAATAAAATCACCTACACCAGTTTCCACTGGACAGTGATCGTATTAGCAGTAAACTCTTCACAGTCATGGCAGCCAAAGCCCAGTAACATAGGTGAGTCTTTGTCTACAGTGTACCAGCAGTTTATTAAACATCTGGAGAGTGTACCATACACAAGTTTCACCTCATTAACATACAGAGTTAAACTTGATACCGTATTGTATACTACTATATATACATATCATAACATATACTAAGGGATGGGAGGGTCAAACAGTATTGCACATGACTGTTTACCCAAGTCTGTAAGTCAGATCCCAGACTTCATAGGTTGTCCTCGAGTCCACCCAACTCTGATGGGTACCTGCATCATGTTAGGGCAAATTAAGGCAGCTGGGCATAGTACTGACCACACATTCCATTTATATAAAAATAAGCTCTACTTTATATGCTTCATGTTATTTTTAGCACTATTTGGAAAAGATGACAAAATTAACAGAAAGTACAGGGATATAATCATTTATATCATTCAGATAATTTTAATCAATAATTGTTGCTCACATGTACAACCTGATCAATTAGTAGTTGAAACTACCAACCTGATATTGATATTTGGCACTGTAGTTAATGCAGCATGTTCAATAAATGTTATAACTTTATTGAGAGTTTTGTTGAAGAACTGGTTGGAGTATGTATCCCAGGCAGAAAAGGTTAATTTAAGACTCAGCTTTTCATTATTTATGATAAGATTTTGTTCAATAGTAAGCTGCCAGTCTGATTCTAGAAATATTTTATAAAATCATGAAAATTATATTTTATAAAAACAATTGTTTCATAAAACTAGATCTATTATTGATTTTAATTTTAATTTTTTTATTTTACAAAGCACAAGTAGTCAAGTAGGTCTTCACCTAAATGTTAATTCTTTATAATTAGAAACTCCATAAATAAAAATGTACAACACTATCTTAATTACAATACAGTCATTTATGATAGAATTGAAACTTCTCTTGATTTAAAAAAATTCTTTATTGCAAGTTTTTATTTTTTTATAATAAGCTCTATTATGCTTTTAGCCATAGTTGAAATTTTAGTTAAGCACATTTTTCAACAGTTCAAAAATAATTATCAATATTAAGTAAAAAAATATTTAATTTAAAGTATCTCAACCTAAATAAACTAATACTAATCATGAGCTCTCCTACCAGATGTGCTGATAAAACTGTCACTTTCATTTGTGTATTGATGTTGATTTTCAGCTGTCTGCTTCTGGATAAGTCCCTCACACATTTTTTCACTTTTGTTACAGTTCCAAAGAAATCTTAATCAATAGTTAATTAGGAATTGATGTTACGAAACAATATTGAATGATACTATAATCATAATATAAAATATAATGATAACGTTTCAATGGATTATTGAAGTTAAATCATTTTATTTAAAATTGATAGATGATAGGTTATTAGTAGAGCTCATTAGTAATCTTAATTAATTAATAATGCCTATATATTTAATTTATATATAGGCCTAATTACAATTTTGCATTATAAAAAAGCAATGTTAGAAAACGAATTTTAGACGTTATTTTGCGTTTTAGAAAACTGTTTTAATAAATTGTAATAACAATTGATTAAAATACTCTATTTTGACAGAGTTCAGACAAGATTTTGGAAAAATATAGCTGTTAAAAAAAATTCAACGGCAATTTTGAAGGGGGGGGGGGTGGTGGGGTTGTAGGCTGAGGTGTGACATCATTTTAGTGGGGGGGGGGGGGTCTGGCTTTTTGTGACGACGTGTGACAGAGGGGAGGGGGGGGGGGAGGTAAAAATCGTCAAAAAAAGCATGAAGTCATTTATGGATGACCCCTTAATAATATATTCACACAATGTGAAAATGTTTAATAAGATTCAATAGTGCTAGATCTAGTAGTATTACTATACTAGGCTAGATCTATTAGTTTAGTAGGACTTTAAGTACTTGATTTTATTTAGTTTAGGCGTTTAGGGCTAAGGCCTTAAACTCAACTAAGTTACTACTACTACTAAACTAAACTGTTCAATAGGCCTACTGTTTAGCCATTGGCTTTAGTGCCCTTTAGGCTTACCCTAGACTGTGTCTATAATAATACTCGGAGTTTCTTCATTGTTTCAATGTAACATTAAAATGTATATAGATCTAGATCCTAATTGATTAGTTTGTTTATTACGTCTAGAAAAATGTTAACTAACTTTAAAGTTTCTTTCCCCTTATATCCTGCTTCTGGTAATTCATAAATATAAAAACTTTTGCTGGCATCAAGATTTAGATCACGCACCGGCCAGGTAAAAGTTTCTTCCTTCGGGTTTACAATTACTCTGATGAGCTGGCTGACATCTCTCGGTTCGTTTTCCAGGAAGCCCTGAATATAAAATAAATTCAAATTAAACTTATTAAACAAATTGAAGACAATTAAAAACTAAATTAAGAAGGATAGGACAAATAGAGACTCACTTACGCAGAGCTTACGAGTGAACTGGTTTTTAAAAAAGTTGCCACATATTCGAAATAATCCTGGTGGTAATATAAACGGTTGGATTACAAGTCGTGATTGGTTCATTGACAAAAGCAATGGAATGTGAGTAAAGTGGTTGGCAAGCTTCGGCAAATCAACCTGTTTGATTAAATTATGTAATAAACTGCCATAATTATGTACATATTATCATTATAAATAACACGTTTTTATCGAATCTAAACCTGAACTTTTGTAAACAATTTTTTTATTTATTGAGAGTGTGAGATTTCATTCACACTCTTACCATATCACAGTGGCGTAGCCAGGAATTGGTCATGGGAGGGGTTCAAATATTTTTCCAAATGTATAAAGTCATATATATATATATATATATATATATATATATATATATATATATATAGGGGTGTGAGTCCATGGGAGGGGTTATAACCCCCCCCCCTAACCTCCCCCCTTGCCTACGCTACTGCCATATCATTATTTGCATAGGGAAACTTGGCTTCTCAAATGAGGCTAATTGAGTGGTAAAAGAGGAGTTCCATTTTTATCCAAAGGCCAATAATATAGGCCTAGCTATGTGATATGTAGTAGGTATTTGAAGATTAGACATAGGCCCTTCTAGGATATTCATCAGTAATGATAATGCAAACACTATCCCTAGAAAGAATGTTAAATTTCAATTCTTAACTATACTAGAATTGTAGTATTCATTCTACGACACCTTATCTAGTAACGCCCCTAGAGTGAGTCATGCTATGACACCCCACCTAGCGACGCCAGTAGTTTAAGTATTAATTTAAATTACGACACCTTATATAGTAACACCCCTAGATTGTGTTAAGATATGCCACCCCAAGTAACACCTCTAGAGTGAGTTAAGCAATGCCAACTCACCTAATGACGCCCGTAGATGAGTCAAGTTATGCCACTCCACCAAATGATACCCCTAGATTCAGGGATACTATGCCACCCCGCTTAATGGTGCCACTAGATTAAGTCAAGCTATGCCCCCCCCCCCCCCCCCAATGACGCCCCTAGATTGAGGCATTCTATGCCACCCCCATGACGCCCCTAGATTGAGGCATGATAATTGATATGCCACCCCACCTAATGACAGCCCTAGATTGAGGCATTCTATGCCACCCCCATGACGCCCCTAGATTGAGGCATGATAATTGATATGCCACCCCACCTAATGACAGCCCTAGATTGAGGCATGCTATGCCACCCCCATGACGCCCCTAGATTGAGGCATGATAATTGATATGCCACCCCACCTAATGACAGCCCTAGATTGAGGCAGGCTATGCCACCCCACCTTTGACCAGTGACGTCTCTGTCTCTGGTACTCTCTAGTACTTACAGACGGCGCTTACCTGTCCTATACGGCTGTGGTGGTAACACTGTGTGGGATAGCCATCCCATCCTGGGGAATCTTGGAATATACGTTCTAGTGACCAAAAATGGTCCACCGCCAAGTCGCCTGAACAGTTTTTGTAGGATTTGATTGCGATCTAAACAAACAATTCACACAAGTTAATATTATATTTCCAATTTTTTAATGACAGATCTAGGTGTTACTGGTTATAGGCAGTAAGCAGAGCTTTTTTTCAGGCACATCGTATCTTAAACCCTGTACCAGAACTCTACTAAACCTGCACACAACGTCACATTGTTATCTTTAACCCTGTACCAGAACTCGACGAAATCTGAACACAACGTCACACCGTTATCTTTAATCCTGAACACACCGTCACATCGTATCTGTAAGCCCTTGCCAACGCAGAAAACTTCCTATCATCCCTAGAGACAAATACAACTACTCACTGTGATCCATTCCCTAACGGCCACTTTTAAAACTGGTGTCGTCATGTCATCATAGATCTCTAGTAAAATATAACAAAGTATAAACAGTGCTAGATCTAATACACCTCTTACATAAATAATATATACGTTGTTTCAAACTATGACAACCGTCTATAACCTTGTTATCAACGGCGTCACAGGGTGAGGGAGGGGGTGCGGTTCGCACCTAGGGACATCATATAGGGAGGTGAAACCACGACGAAAAATTTGCAGTCAAAATAAAGGTTTATTTAGTTAAGATATCAAAATGTTAGAGTGAGAGGGGTGACACCAAACCGGAAAAGCAAAATTGTTGGACGGGGCTGGGGCGACACCCTCAGTTACCGCACCCGTTGACACCCGACATAGTGGCGCCACTGCTTCTTATAGTAATGTAACGTGTAGGCTACTACACAGCGATTCATTTGTTAAAGATGTGTTTGCTATCTGGCTATTGCCCAAAGTGTGTACTTTGTTTGTGGCCGTTGCCTTGACTACAATTGATTGGTAGATAAAGGCCAAATTTATAATGGTCAGTAAAACTGGAATACCAAAACAGCAGCATTAACTGTAGCTTACACATGTAAGGATCCCACATGTTAAAAACAAAATTGAATAAACACCAAAGTAAAGTCTGTAGAACCTGGACTAAATCAAAGCTAAAGGGCATTGTGTTTAAGAAAACTACACCAAACGTGATTTTGTAAAAAAAAAAAAAAAAAAGAAGAAAAAAAAACAGTTGATGAAAAGGATTAGTTAACTGACCTTCACCGTTGATTGTAAAAGCTTTGGCAAGTACGCAGTCATCTTTAACTGCTGATTTAGGATAGCTCACATCAACAGTAACAGTTTGAATATCAGTGTAATTCTTAAACAGAAAAAAAAAGAATGAATAGCATGCACTAGATCAACGTCATAGGGCGGATAACTACAGGCGTTTACAAAACTATAAATGGGGCTGAACTGTGCACGGTTACCTTTGTGTAGACGTCCACCTGGGGGTTGTGTAGACCACCTCTGGTCACCCTAGCCGACACTTCATGCACGCCGTCCTCCAGGATTAAATATTCAAAAATACGAACATGTCTGCCCGTGATACAAAATACACAAGCTCAGATATATTACCTTATATATATATATATATATATATATATATATATATATATATATATATATATATATATATATATATATATTTGCCATAATTATAGTCTAAGCCTTAGGTAAATGGTATGGTAGCCACAAGACTTATATAAATTATACCGGTTATATTTGATGCCATATACAAAGGCGTCGCGAGGGGGTGGGTGACACTGAGGTGCTGCACCGGGTGACACACGACCTAGCTACGCCACTCGCCACACAATCTAAGCCTTACGTGAATGAAGGAGGAGCTTTGATGTAGGTTGAACCACCTCCAAGAAACCTGGCCGGATAAGTTTGTTCATCGTCAGCAGTACTCAGACAATGGTGGAGGACCTTCCTGCAGGAGAGAACAAACAGCCTTGTCAAACAATGGTGTAGGACCTTATGTAGGAGGGAGCAATGGTGTAGGACCTTATGTAGGAGGGAGCAATGGTGTAGGACCTTATGTAGGAGGGAACAATGATGTAGGACCTTAAGTAGGAGAGAACAGCTTGTCAAACAATGGTGTAGGACCTTATGTAGGAGGGAGCAATGGTGTAGGACCTTATGTAGGAGGGAGCAATGGTGTAGGACCTTATGTAGGAGGGAGCAATGGTGTAGGACCTTATGTAGGAGGGAGCAATGGTGTAGGACCTTCCTGTAGGAGAGAACAGCTTTTCAAACAATGATGTAGGACCTTAAGTAGGAGGGAACAATGGTGTAGGACCTTATGTAGGAGGGAACAATAGTGTAGGACCTTCCTGTAGGAGAGAACAGCTTTTCAAACAATGATGTAGGACCTTAAGTAGGAGGGAACAATGGTGTAGGACCTTATGTAGGAGGGAACAATGGTGTAGGACCTTACGTAAGAGGGAACAATGGTGTAGGACCTTAGGAGGGAACAATGGTGTAGGATCTTATGTAGGAGGGAACAATGGTGTAGGACCTTAAGTAGGAGGGAACAATGGTGTAGGACAAAAAATGTAGGAGGGAACAATGGTGTAGGAGGGAACAATGGTGTAGGACCTTATGTAGGAGGGAACAATGGTGTAGGACCTTATGTAGGAGGGAACAATGGTGTAGGACCTTATGTAGGAGGGAACAATGGTGTAGGACCTTATGTAGGAGGGAACAATGGTGTAGGACCTTATGTAGGAGGGAACAATGGTGTAGGACCTTATGTAGGAGGGAACAATGGTGTAGGACCTTATGTAGGAGGGAACAATGGTGTAGGACCTTATGTAGGAGGGAACAATGGTGTAGGACCTTATGTAGGAGGGAACAATGGTGTAGGACCTTCCTGTAACAGTGTTTCTAGGGTTAAACGTGTACGTTGTATGACGTATGTATATCAAGTTATAGAGCGTGGAATTAGCATACATGACGTCATACTGAATACAGGTGCAATTTACTATAGTCTATGTTATGAAGGACAGCTACTTGACCTACTACAGGAAACTGGTTCAATTAACAATAGCCTACGTCGTGTAGACCAGTTACATTGTACAGCTACACCACAGTTCCATTGTACAGCTACACCACAGTTCCATTGTACAGCTACACCACAGTTCCATTGTACAGCTACACCATAGTTACATTGTACAGCTACACCATAGTTACATTGTACAGCTACACCATAGTTACATGGTACAGCTACACCACAGTTTCATGGTACAGCTACACCACAGTTACATTGTACAGCTACACCGTAGTTACATTATTATCAAGTTATTTAGCTGGGCGAGAAGTCTTTGGGATTCATCTAGTAATGTACAACAAAAGTGTCTGGGCATACAGTGCTCACCACAAAATTTGACTATGAGACACGTCAAAGAAAACAGACGATAATACATTATGTAACTTTATATACATTAGAAGTGAGTATAAAAATGCCAGGTTTCTGTTATAGACCTAAACGAGCACACAACCACTGAACTCACGATCTGGTCTGCGAGAACAAATGGACGTGGAAGTTGTCGAGCCTCTTGTCTATGACGCTTGCAGGCCTGTAGCGAATGAAGAACTGGAACTTTTCCCCAACAAAACCCTTGGTCTTCTGAGCCCCGAGTAGGAACACTGGCGAGAGAGATCAGCGGATACGATACACATCTTTATTTTATTTAAATCTTTTTCTTCGGATAAATATTGATTGTTGTAATGTTATTAATTAAATTAGTGTAATTTTATTTGTTGTATCTTTTTTTTTCCAGGTCAGGGAAATAATGATTTTAATTGAGGAAATTCAGATGTGGGAAAACATAACGTTTTCTCATGTTCTTCATGATCAAGAAAATTGTGTGATTAAAATCGCTTCTACGGAGAGATGTGGGGGGGGGGGGGGAGGGGGGAGGAGGGAAAGAAGGGTGAATGTGGAGGAGGGAACAGTCCAATTTTGACAAAACACCTGCTGGGGAGCGGGTATGGATGATGGTCAGAATAAAAATAATGAGCTACATAGTGGGGAACGTGGGGGGGGGGAGCAATAAATATGGCTGGGCAGGCAATCCTGGAGTAGGACGGTGGAAAGACCGGCCAAAGCTGCCTGGCTTACGTGGGCTCAACTAAAGAGAACAGCCCAAAACAGATTCCCGTGGAGAGGTGTGGCTGCAAACCTTTCCCTCACAGAGTCCCCGAATTAATAACTGTCAATAAATATAACTTAGCAATCATTTAGTTTTTGTTTTTAATGATGGAAAAAAACCCCATAAAAATTAGCGTTGGAGGTTTGAAGTTTGGTTTTAGTGGTGGGATGTTTGGTAGTTTGTGACGTCTGACGATAGGGGGAGGGGATGGGGTAAAGGCGACCGATTTACGTGAATACATATAGGCTATAGGCAACGTTAAAACAGTAACCTATGTTTTTTCTATAGGGCTGGCCTATGCTATTTCTGTTGGGGTTATGATTTGTTTATGATCATAGGATGGAGTTTAAAGTAACGAGTAATGTAGTGTAAAATTAAATATATCATGCTAAACACGATTTTTCACACAGATTTAAGACTATAGATCTATAAAACACTATCATGATTGCGACATCACATAAACATACTTGATTCGTTCATCTGTGCTGCAGACAACTGAAGTGTCATCGTTATACAAGCAAACATGAACATCATTTTAAAAATATATTGTAGTACAATGCTCTCTCTAGTGTTTCTAATTCTAGACCATAAGCGTGAATGTGTTCACACAAAAAAAAATAACTTGAAAATCATTTTCGGGATTTCCCACTTTTGGTGCGAAAATCTCGGCTGTCATTAACTAAAAGAAGAGACACTCAAATATAGGTATTCCAGGTTATATCAAGAGACCCCAACCGTATCAAACTCTAGGTCCTCAAAAAACGACGTCACGCTTTTATGACCGGTTTCACCTCACCACATTTTCGTGGTCATTTACCCCCCCCCCCCCCTCCTTCCAACACCATCACACTCAGTAAAATCGCAATTTAATTTATTTTCTCGAAACGATTTTGTTCTCATTAGGACCAATACCAGGTATAGCCTTCTGATTTTTAATTATGAAATCACATTTAAAAAAATCTTATTACCTAATTTTCAGGCTCTTAAGAGTTTGACTAGCCCTTTTCTTCTCAGTTATAAGATTTAAAGTTTGGTATATAGACTCTTAATGTCTTGGGCATCAGTCAAATAAGGCGAGCCCCTAATTATGAAATTTTCCAGCTAAAAAAAAACAACATAAAACTAAATGCATATTTTTATACCATTGCTTTTTAACATTTTAATACAACTGACAAACCAGTCCCTAGCCATTTGTCATCTCATTTGTGTTATATTAATATGTGAAACGTCGATTCCTTATCATTTCACTTAATATATGATTTTTAAGAAGTCTAGCTATACATTAATAGGCCTTTTATTGGAAAAGAGCTGCCCATTAGTAGTCCTAAGGGGAAAGAATTATCAATTGGCAGGACTACTTAAGGGGACATAACTACCAATGATATCACCTGCTTATTTGTTTTCTAATTTAAGGTCAACTAGATGTTTAAGCTGTTTGCATAAACTTCGTTATTAACACAAAGATTATTTTAAATAAACAAAGAAGAAATTTTCTAAGACCAAAAAATACATTTTTTAAAAATTTAATTTTTTTTTTTAAAAACAAGTCATATTTAGTGCCTTAAAGCATTGCAAACACATGAACAAATATAGACGATGAACACATTGTATCAACACTAATTAGGTCAGACATTGTCCTAATAAAGAATTTCTGTGTGCGAATATATTGTAAATAATGATAACATTTCATAGATATCACTGGATAGGATTATATATGTATTGTAAATAACAATATAATTTTAATAGTGATGTTGTTTAGTCCTATAGAGTTATGTTTGTAAACAATAAAACTTGTGGACAAATAAAAAAAAATAAGTCATCTGCTTCTGAAACACAAAATATTCTTGGACTAGTAGAGTAGATTCAACATATCTGATTAGTTTGTCAGGTGGGCATTACAACACAGCAGTGGTTCTCAACTTTTTTTTGGAGGCACAGAAACCCACCAGGTTCATAAGCATATTCATAGAACCCTTCTTATAGTTTGATCAAACCCAGATTAATAATCATTGACTTATTTGTTTTTTCTGACTAAAAGTAAAAAGTTATATTCCCCTTCCAGACATAGAAATATGTAGGGCAGATGAAGTAGAGTTCATGTCTCTTGACCTCAGTATATGAAAGGATGATGTGGTCAGCACTATGCCCAGCCATCTCTACTTTCCCTAACATGAGTCAGGTACCCATTAGAGCTGGGTGAACTCAAAGATGTCTGACAGTCGTGAGTCAGGACAGAAATATTCAGGCTGGCAGTTGAGAGCTCTATCACCCGACCACCCCATCTACTTAGTAGAAAACATTTTTTATACATTAAAACAAAAAACATAATACAAGTACAATTAATTTTAACTTCAATAAAATTCAATGTTTCTCTTATTAGATTAAGCTTAACTTCCACAACAATTAAAATTAAAAATTATTTTTTTACATGAAATAATCCAAATACAAGTTAAGAATTTTTCTTTAAAGTAAGTAAATAAAAAATAAAAGTGGATTTAAAAAAATGACAACCAGTTCTTTAATCAAAGCTCACAGCCAAGTACATGCATAAAACAATCTAAAAAACCTCCAGGATCTTCAAGATGGGAAATTAAAAAAATCTACTTGAAGGCTCAGGTAACAAGCTTTTACAACACCAAACACAAAGTACATCAGAAATAGTTCAAAATTCTTTTAAGTTTTAAAACATATATGACATAGTTGATAAAAAAATAAATCAGGATGAACAATGATGTATAATGATAATTAAATAAAAAGGAATAATAATTTTAAAATAAATAAATAAACAGTAAATGGATAATAAATAAATTTTAGAATGACTTGTTTTAAAAAATCATAATTTATCAAAACAATTAATTAGCGGTGATGATGAATGTAACATGCACTTGAAAGTGACTTTTTTTTAAGTAAAAGAAAACAGTAAAATAAATAAGACATGAAAGTAATACTGCAGCCAGGCAGCTATTAAAGAGTGGTAAATGCCACTGTCATATTGTGTATGCTACATCATCACAAGATGTAATGCAGCCTGTCAGATATTAAAGAGTGGTAAATGCCACTGTCAGATTGTGTATGCTACATCAGCAAAAGGTGTAATGCCACCTGTCAGATATTAAAGAGTGGTAAGTGCCACTGTCATATTGTGTATGCTACATCATCACAATGTGTAATGCAGTCTGCAAATATTAAAGATTGGTAAATGCCACTGTCAAACTGTGTATGCTACATCATCACAAAGTGTAATGCAGTCTGGCAAATATTAAAGAGTGGTAAATGCCACTGTCATATTGTGTATGCTACATCATCACAAGGTGTAATGCATTCTGGCAAATATTAAAGAGTGGTAAATGCCACTGTTATATTGTGTATGCTACAGCATCACAAGGTGTAATGCAGTCTGGCAGATATTAAAGAGTGGTAAATGTCACTGTCAGATTGTGTATGCTACATCAGCAAAAGGTGTAATGCAGTATGGCAGATATTAAAGAGTAGTAAATGCCACTGTCAGATATTAAAGAGTGGTAAATGCCACTGTCATATTGTGTATGCTACATCATCACAAGGTGTAATGCAGTCTGGCAAATATTAAAGAGTGGTAAATGCCACTATCAGATTGTGTATGCTACATCATCACAAGGTGTAAACAGATTGGTCACAATGAGTTTGATTTAAAAGCTTTGTCCAAAAAAAAGAAAAAGAAACAGGAATGTGTTTGTTTTGCTTGCCATCAGATATCAACAAGATGGCTGCCTTTTAGTTGACATCAAACAACATTGATCTCTTTAAAAAAATATACAGGAAAATCTTTCAAAATGATTCGTGATTGTTGATATTAAAGTTAACATGTACATAGCCTAGTGATATGAAATGAATTTTTGTTTTAATTACATTTCAAATAAAATTACCAAAAAAAAACTACACACATTTTTTTTACTATAACGTACATATGCTGCGTTGCTTGTGTATGCCATGGATGGAAATATTTAAAGGCACTTAGCACATTTTTAGTGTATTGCCAATTTATATCAGATAGAAAATTAGCCAATAGAAACAATAGCTAATTTAAATATTTAAATGCAGTTTTTATATTTCACCCTAAATATATTAAGACCCATTACAATATGAACGAAATTATTAAGTGACAACCACATTTTCACATTTAGCATTGCATGGTTCCATTTAAATATTTTAGTCATGGGATTGTGGAGAAAACATGTAAAAAACATATGGGGGAGATAACTCTCACCTTTAAAAAAAAAAGATCCTAAAGATATGTAAAATAAGAGATTCATACATTTCTATTTCATTTCTCAGAGTCATCGAGATGAAATTTAATATAGAACTAAAAACATTCGAAACATGATATTTCAATAAAAAATATATTAAAGTGAATTTGTTTCAATGAAAGAGTTATGAGTTTGTGTGACCAGCACATTTAAACATTACTTAGTAGTTCAATTACCTAAATATGCTGACAACAAACACTGAAGCAGTGACCACAACCTATTCATCCTTACCCAACACAAAATTACATCTGCATCTTATTTAAATTGTATGACTGAATACTTTAATTTCACATGCAGCCAAATTAGCTTATGAAACTGCTTGAAGCACACCAATTTTACACTGAGATACAACATACTGTAAGATTTAAACACAAATATACCATGAGCTGTTTTTGAAACGTTAAGGCAAACATGAGGATATCTTTATATAGTTTCTCTGTATACATTTTCCATCATACCGAAATGGTACAAAGTTTGAAATATCTGGGAAAGCTTGACTACAAAAATTTAATAGCTTAAAATCCTAAGTATAAAAAAACATCCAAATGGACTGAAAGAGGGAGTTTTAAATAGAAGCAATATAAGGAAATCTATTGAGAGTATTTAGAAAAAACATAAAAGTTCAAACTTCGACACAAAAAAAATAGTAAGAATAAATTTAACAATATTCGTTTCACATTAATAGAAGTAATCTGTAACTAATATAAATACATTGGTAAATTCCTTTTAAGTGTAAAAACTTTTTTGTTATAACAGGTAAAAACAGTAAAATGATACAAAAAAAGGTGAAACTGACAATATGAACGACACAGACAATGAAATAAAAGATTATAATATAGAAACAGGAAAACAAACAATCCTATCTTGAAAGAGAGACAACCACACAATTGAAGTATAATCATTTTTCCTGAGAAATAGAAAACCCCCAAAATGATTTTTAAAAGCCCGTAGAATCAAAGACAGACAATCTACAATGAATCAAGCAGGTGATACAAAGTCAGTCAAAAAAAATTAAAAGATCAATTGTAAATTATAATGACAAAAACCTTAATAGTAATGACATTTCATATACACCACTTGTTTAAAATATTTGACTTCAAGCAAAAATATATTAAAATATTTGTATATTTCATTTATATGATAAAATTACATTAAAATATTTTTTTTTTAACTGTCTGACTGATTTAGCCAGCTGAATAAATTATATCTACACCACAGGACAAATAATGTTGGGAATTTATTAACTGACAATGTTGCCAGAATTGTAGTCAGTATAATCCTCTGATAACATTGTATGATTTCCCACAGATAGTTCAAACTGTCTGTTGGCAATTTTCTTAACACAATGGTCAGAACTGTAGCTGCTATAGGCCTGTTACTGCTTTATAATATTGCTTCTTATAACACAAATACAGCTTTCAATAAGCTTTGAGTAATTAGAGCAATAACTTTTTTTTCTTATGCTTAAACCCCCCCTAACTCATTGTTTAAAAAATTAACTTATTAGGCTATTAGTTACACAAATTAGCACCAAATCAAACTGACTTGTCAGGAACATGAAAATAACATGCTTTTAGTACATATTAAATGTCTGAATTACAAGTGTGTTAACATAAACGTTTACGTGGTAGTGTCATCAAGTACTACAACTTCATACGGGGAACACTTGGGCAGCCCGACCTTGCTGCAGAACCACCCGTAGAAGCCCTTCTCCCCATCGTAAAACTCCGCCTGCCACCGGAGCCAAGACCAGGAGATTTGCATCACACAAGCAACCACTGCGATACACAGCGCCGAAAGCCCAACCGTGAATGGAAAGGATAAAATGATTAAAGGGCATAACGTTACCCTGTAAGGTAGCGATTTCTCCTCACTGAAATATATAATCAAGTTGTACCAGGTCATGGAACCGTTGTAGAAGGAAACACACAATGACACTAATAGAGCAACTGGAACACAAAGAAAACCCCAAAGAATGATGTGAAAACCTTCCTTTCTCTGACACACGCATCTTCTTGTCTTCTTTGTTTCTTCTTTCTGGGACGTCAGTCTCAGAAATTCATTTTCTGTCAGTTCAAGCTGGACCTACATTATTTAAAAGAAAAATGCTGTAATATTGAGAGTTAATTAAATGGGATGCGCCCTAAGAAATATGCAGTAATGCTGAGGTTTAATTAAACCTTACAAGCTCTGTATTTATATTCTACTGGAATAAAAATGTATTTTAAATTTTAATACAAAAAGTATATTACACTTAATTACAACCTTGAATAATTATTAAAGAACACATTTGAAATAAGTAAAACTGTAAACTTTAAAAAAAATATACAAGCTGCTGAATGTGCAGTTAACTGCTCTATTTTTATTTACACTTTCACGTACATTTAATTTTTAATGAAGACTTTGACTTTAATTATATATAATTTAACAGTCAATACTATGTTATTATCCTGCACTGAATAAAAGCAAATGAAATTTTTTAAAAATATTCCAAAGATAGTACCTCGACTGGCTGCCCAACACCATTGCCTCTGGTAACTGTACCTAACATAGTCACTCTCTGTCCATCACCAGTGGAACCAGGGCGCTTTCTGTTTTTGGGAATCCCCCCCGCTAGAAGCTCTGCCGTGTGTGAGTGGGATGGCCCAGCACCAGTCTGGTGGGCTGCAGGTGGACATCTGGGGGTGGTTGAGACAGGTGAACTTGTAATTTCATCATCGCTTTCATTGATGCAGCTCTTGTTGAGGCGAACAGGCGATTGCTTCCTCGTGTTTGTCATGAGTGGTTCTGATTGTTCTAACAGCTCCAGCTGTTCTGGAGTGGCTTGGGCTACAATGTCAGACATGACTTTAATCAAGAAAACACTGCAGCCAGGGAAGATGTACACAGCAGTGATATTCAACACCACAGTTCAAAATTTAAGGTCCATCTTGAGTCTTGATTGACTTTGTTTTGAGAGGGCTAGAAAAAAAAAACATTTTCTTTCATAGAAAAACATTCATATAGAATAGATACTACATCTAAATACATAATAGGCCTACATAATTTGAAAAGTATTAGGCCTATATATTATGTTTGTTTTCATTATAATTTATTATCATTAATATCATGCACATGTTTATTATTTAAGTTTTTAAATTCCTATACAATGACTATACAAAGTATACAATGAATACTGAATGAATAGCTGATGAAGTTGATGCAGTCTCAGACTAAGTAGACGAAGACACCCTGATATTGTTTTACATTGTTTTACTTTTTTTTTTACTGCTATACCATTCCGGAATAATAACCAACGCTAAACTATTATAATATAAAACTACCCTGAGGTTTTTTTCGTCAAACTTCAAAGTCAACTTCAAACTGACCGCTGCACCTGTCCTGCACCGACGAGTACCTACTTAATCTTATTAAATAACACCAGTTTGAGTTACGCAAGGCCCGCATTTGTATAACTTCCTTATTGGGAGTGAAGCAATATAGATTATACAGGTCCTAACCTAGATTTGGTAATCCCTTAGTTTAGCGTCGGTTATTATTCCGGAATCGTATAGCAGTAAAAAACAGTAAAACAATGCCAAAGTCTGTCACACACTTCCGGAATTCACCGGAAGTACTGTAAACAATACTTTATTTGGCGTCATCTTTTATTTTTATACAGAATGTTTAAATTTTGGATAGATTTATTTTTGTAATCATTTTTACATTTTGTAATCATTTTTACTATTTTCGTAATCTAGATTTGGTATACCCTAGATTTTTTTACTTGGTCTAGCAGCTAGATATCTAGCTAGATCTAGATCTAATTAATTAATGGTCGCAAATCCGCTGCAAGCCAAAAACATTAAATTATTACATTTGACTTCATTATTTATATATGTTTTTTTTTTAATTTTTAGATCTACTAATTTAAATCTACTATTATATTTATTCTTGTTTTCTTTAGTCGATTAAACTTAAAAAATTAAAACATTAATTTACTACAATCGACTTTCAATTTATTTATATTTCAATGGTCAAATAAACCATGGTTTACCGTAACTCTAGCTACCGAAACTCAACAAACATTACCCGATAATTTCCGACGCTAAACTAAGGTTTTACCCTAGATTTAGTCTAGATCTAAATATACTAAAATAAAAATACCTTAGCTTGTGAAAATCTACTTTTAAGTGACTGTGAGACTGAAGAAGTTTGATGTAAACTTTGCAAAGTGTGTAAATACCAGTGGAAAAAAGGTCATACTCAACATCGAAAACGCTTGTTAGGTTTACAAGCGCAAATAAGATCTAGAGTATCAATATAGTCACAATATAGTGCAGGGCCTAAATTAAAAATGTATACGCCTATAGTTTCACCAAGATATAATAACAATATAATGATGCGAAAATCATTTAAAAATGGTTTATTATCAATAATAAATTGAGTGTCATATTTTAGTTAAATAACTATAGGCTCCAAGTAACAGTATGGTAGATACATGATATAGAATAATATAAATCTATATACGATTAGCTTCACTAGTAAGAATCTACTAGCCCTTAGAATTTAAAGATTAAGAATAGAACATAATAGATTATGAGAATAAAATATTTTAACGTGCAATTTGTTTATGTCTTTTGATGTACTTTTAAGTACTTTTTGGCATTTAGCTTAAAAAATTGTACTTTACTAATTCTAAAAATAGCTTTCAAAACAAAAAGGTTAAAGGTTATTTTAAAAATGGAGACGATCAAAACAAATGCTATACCCAACTTAGAAGTTTTAAGCATTACACAGTTGCCAAACGAAGTGCTAGAAAGCATTTTCATGGAATCGTGTTTAATAGCTAAAGATCTAATAAATTTGTGTATTACGTGTAGCAGACTAAATGAAGTTATTAGTTCAAATTCTACACTTTGGCAAACAAAACTTCAACACAGGTACTGACTCACTGTGCTGTGAGTGTGAGCCAGTGTGAGGTGTAGATCTAGAAATCTAGATATCTAGATCTAGAATTCATTCGAATCATATTATTATTTATATAATTATTATATAATTATATTAATTTTAAAAAATAAAAAAACAACTGCCTCGTTTTAATTTTTAGCTGTTAGCAAAGGACAATTATTAAGTATATTAGTTGACACAAGCAGATATTAAATTAATTAAAATTATATATACAATTATTAATATTGTACTTGTACTGCAAATGCTTTCAAGCATGAAAGTAATCAGTATTACACTATTACTCTATTACTAGATCTATATTAGTACTATCACTATGGTTGACATTTTAACTTTCGGACAGCATTAATGTATTAAGTTTATTTAAGAACATTGACCAAGTTGTCTAATTATTTTTTTATAGATGGAAGCATGCATATAAAAGAATTAAAAAACTCAGATCGAAAAGAACACAGAAAGATGGCATGGTTCTGTGCTGGAAGTCACTTTACCGTCAGAGACTTGTAGTAAAAAATGTTGTGGCACAGCGATTGGCCAATATGCCCAGTGAGGTACACTCTGGGAAAGCTGCTTGTCAGAAGGCTCTCAGTGAAGGAAACTTTTATAACTTTTGCCAGTTGCTTCCCTCTGAAGTTGATGCCGATTTAAGAACAGAATTTGTTGTTGATGAGCTGATGTGCATTGTTGCATCAGGAGATGATGCACATAACCTACAAGGAAAATACTTTGCTGAAAAATCTTTGGCGTTTTATTGCCATCAGGGAATGCTTGATGAAATTAAAGCTTTTGTAATGGATAAAAGCTGTAAAATTGATTTAGAAACTGGTGCTTCGTTAATAGCTCAGTGGTTTCAGCCAACTAAGAAAATCACTTCTGTGAGAATAAAAGAAAAACTTGACATATTTGCTCATGAGGTGAAATTAATTTTAAGCACAATCTCCCCAGAACATCCTGTCTTGCAGGAAAATTTCGTCCTGGTCTCTAAACTTGAGGAATCGTTATGGAGTCCTCAGAAGTGCAGGGAAATCTTACAAGCCATAGAAATGTTTGTAGTGCCAAACTTTAACCAAAATTTTAAAAAATATTTCAAACCTGAAAACTCGTATATAAATCTTGTTCTTGAGAAAAAACAAGGCATTCATATCACACTTTGTCTGACAGTAATGGGCATAGCCAGACGCTTAGGTTTATTAATGGAGCCTGTAAACTTCCCTCACTATTTTGTTCTTCGTTGGAAAGAGTTTCCCAGCAAGCGAGGCATTGAACAGTATACCTTCATTGATGTTTTTAATGGAAATTTCAGCATGAACTATGAGAGACTGTTGCAGTCTCTATCTCCAGGTATTTCCATCAACAGCGATCATTGCAAATCATGCACAGAGTTGGATGTTATTCAGAGAATGATGAGGAACCTCATCTCCATAGGCAAACACCAACAGAATACACAAGGACTTGAGTTCCTGTACCATGCACTAGAGTTGTACAATATGTTTATCCCCAATAGTATCGAGGAGAGGGTTTCATCTATTCAAATTGCTCTGCATCTGAGGATCAATCTACCAATGGCATTGGACAGAATTCAAGAAGTAGTGGCCCAGTACCCAGGACTTAAAGATATGCTTATAGATTTACAGGTAAATGTTATTAGGATTAGCTCATGCCAAGATTCTTAAATCTTTTTAAGTTCTTGATCTCATGCACCTCGGATCTATATTTACTCTATTTGAAGTATTTAAAAAATTTCTCATGTTGTGTTAATATTTCTTGAGTGTCTTAAGCCTCCTATTTTTTTCTTACATAATAGCTTAACATTAAATTCTAAATATTGGTGCTCACTATTTTCTAAAAATTTCAAATACATGTGATTTATTGGATTTATCCTTCTTCTATTTATAAAAACATCCACAATTGAAAAATGCATATTTTAATAAATGACAGAAATGTGTAAATGGAGATTTTTTTATATATTTAAAGACTGGTTTATTTCTCTTGAAATTAGCTAATGAGTAGGTCAATATTTTGAAGAAATCAACTTCTGTACTATTTGTCATTAGTATTTCAGTTTTACTATAGATTATGTTACCTATCAAAAAGTCATACAGTTTTTTAGATTCATATTTTTAAATAGTTATGTGTTTACATGTGGCCAGTAGTTGTTGATTACTATGTGGGTTTGTATTGTGTCTTGTGATGTTCCCATGATGACTAACTAACCTAGTTGGTAATAATTGAGTGTGCATTGTGATGTTATACTATCCTTATAAATTCCTCACAACTATCTGTATCGCAGAATGAATGTGAAAAAAGTTTGTCCCACCTTCAACTCGAGAACTTAAAGCTGGACGAGATAAAAATAACTCCAAAACGAAGAGCAGACAACCCTGAAGTGAGTACAGACTTATTTATTGGCCCTTGTTTGATATCTTATGTCTCTTGTCTAACAAATGATCCTGGCATTAAATGGTTAATATTTTGAAACAGGTCAAATATTCAGTGGGAATTATCATGACAGTAAATGGTTAATATTTTGAAACAGGTCAAATATTCAGTGGGAATTATCATGACAGTACATGGTTAATATTTTGAAACAGGTCAAATATTCAGTGGGAATTATCATGACAGTAAATGGTTAATATTTTGAAACAGGTCAAATATTCAGTTGGAATGATCATGAAACACAAGAGATACAACTACGTGTGCATGATTCGAGGCTGGGATGTTACTTGTGAGGCCAGTGAGGAGTGGATTGCACAGATGGGGGTCAACAGGTGTGACCACGGAAGATATCAGCCCTTTTATCATGTCTGGGTCATGGATGGGACAGATAGATACGCAGCTGAGGAGAACTTGACATTCACACCACATCTCAGACCTATCAAACATCCTGAGGTAATGCTCCTATTCTTCTTTCTTTCTTTTTTTGTTTGTTTCTTACCTTTTTTTACTTTCTCGTATATACGAAGTATAGAGAAAGTATTGTAATCGTGCAAAAAAAAAAAAAATCGAGATTTTTACAAATCTCGAGGTTTTACATCTCACTGATACGGAAAAACATAATTTTGCAATCTTGTCCGTATGTCTGTGTGTCTGTCTGTGTGTCTGTCTGTCTGTCTGTGTGTGTGTAAACACGATAACGAGTACCGTTACAGCTAGGTTGATGAAATTTCATATATAAGTATTTTATCAAAATCGTAGATCCTTATCAACTTTTGAGCGATTTCCGATAACCGGAAGTGGTACTTTTCCTACTTTGAAATTTTCAAAAGCCTATAACTTGAGTATTATTTCAGATAGATAAACAAAATTTCACAAGTAAGTAAAAGATCTAATTCTCTACCTTCTGTTAAATTTTGAGTAATTTCCGTTGAAAGGAAGTAGTAAATTACGCTACTTCTGATTTCTCAAAAAACTAATGTAAATTTTTAAAGTACTAATAAAATTGCGCACTATTATGCACTTTTTTATTTAGCGTTCACTTGGTGTGCAATTCTATTGTCTACGAGATTTTATTCTATTTTTAAAACTTTAAGTATAAGTATTTAAAATGGATTAAAAATCATGTCTATAGCCCGAGTTCCCATCCCCTGTTATTTTATATAAAAATATTCGAGAAAGTTTAGGGGAGATCACTTCCGGTTTATTCTTTCTTAATTTCTTTCATTTTTATTTTTTCCCACTGTTTCTCTTACTATTTTTATTTCCTCTATTTCATTTTTTTGTTTTACACTTAATGTTTTGCTCGAATTTAATTTCTTTCACACTATTTTTCTTTTTTATTCTTTTCTCTTTTTTTCTTACTATTTTATGTTTATTTTCTCTATTCCATTTTTGTGTTTTACTCTCATGATTTTGTTTCATTTTTCTTTCACTTTTTTTGAAATACATGTTTTTATCCACCTACATTTTTTTTTTGCATCTATGGCTATACCTTTTAGTAAAAAAACTAACCAAAAAATTAAAAACTAAATGTTACAGGAACTAAACTGAAAAATGTCTTTAAAAAGCTCTTGAATTTGTTTTCTTTCTCTTTCGGACTTAGTGCATGTCATTTAATGTGTGCACTATGTAGCTTCATTATCCATATTCATTTCTGTCTTTTATTTGCAGACAATTTAAAAAATCTTGTATTTAAAAGTTGAATTTTTATCTAAGAACATGGTTATTAATCCGGCTTAGATACACAATATTGTGTTGGCCTTTTTAAATTTGTATGTGGTATAAAAAAAATGTATTTTGTAAAAATGTTATGTTACGTAGGTTGGACGCCTGTTTGATAGCTTTAATGGCAAGTATTACATCCCTGGTCCTGAGCTGAGTGAAGAATACCCAGATGATCTGGAGGCTACAGAGATGCTGGTGTCACAGTATTTGGAGAAGCAGGGACATAGCAGTGAACCTTTAGAGGACCTTGCTGATGATGATTCAGGTAAGGCGGAGGTGGTTTATTCATGTGAGGTGTTTTATTTAGGTATGTTTGTTTATTCAAGTATGGTGGTTTAAAAAATTCCCTTTTTAAACCTGACGGTCTATGGGACAAGTGAAGTAGAGTTCACTTGTTTCTCTGACCTCGGCATATGAAGAGATAGTGTGGTCAGCACTATGCCCAACTGCCTTTACTTTCCCTAACGTAAGTTAGGTACCCATCAGAGTTGGGTGGTCTCAGGGACAGTCTACCGACTTGAACCCGGATTCATACTCGAGACTTACGGGTTAGCAGTCCAGCTCTCTACCGCTAGACCACTCCATCCCCGGTATGGTGGTTTATTCACATACAAAGGTTCATTCAGTAGTTGATGTAGGCATGGTTATTAATTTTAGATTAGTTATTTCAAGTTTTATTCTCTTTTTTTTAAACTTACCCAATAAGACTGACAAGTGACATTGAGTTAAGCTATCAATTTCCTGTAAATATTGAGCCATTTGTCAGTTTGAATTTCCCATTCTGCTTCCTGGTATTTTTAAAAAGCCTTAATTAAACAAAAAATTTCCACATTTACTGAAACAAAAGAGAAGAAAGTTTGTTTTCTAGAAATAGTAAATTTGATTCTAATTTAACTTCCATTTATATAAACTAGTATAAGCGTGGTAACCTAGTAACATAGTTTCATATTAAAATCTGTATTGCTTCATCTTTATTTGAGCTATCCGTATTTTAAATTATGTTTTGTTAAAATAAATTGTGATGCATAGTTTTTTTATAGTTTACCATATAATTTCAGATCACACCAAAATGCAAATATTCAAAAGTTATTAGAATATAGATTAACGAGCTGACCCGCGGCGTAGCTTTCACGCTATTTTGTTGTTTATTTTCTACTTTTCAGTAATTCATAATTTGTGAATTCCACATTACCAATGCTGCGACTGAAAGTATTTTGCAATAAAACACTATCAGTAGCCGTGAAGAACGATTATCCTCACCCACCCTTCCCCAACCCCCACCCCAGCTTTTTATTTATGAGAAAAAATTGTGTGCATAATTTTTAGATTATTCTTTAGACCTAATAAAAGTCATCATTCACAGTTATTTCCCTTGAAAGAAGTGTTTTAAAATAACTTAAAATTCCCCAAGTTCTTTCTATGTAAAAGTTACTTTTTACCACAATCACAGCTAGTTTGTGTGTATATGTCTGCTGTTTTTACTAATGTCTTGAATTACTTTATTAAACACTTTATATGTTTATTAAAGGTTTGTCCTTAAAAAAAATCTCATTATATGATTTTTCAATGGTATTGTGTCAAAATGGGTATAGTGATACACAGAACTATGTTTATTTTACAAAAAAAATTCTATACAAGTTGATTAAATTTTAAATCACATGTTTGTTTCCCTTTCACAGATTGACATGGATTTTCACACGAATCAGTCATCAGTGTGCTGTACACTACTTGATGTTGTAAACTGTGTTTTACCTCTCAGATTTCACATGTATATCGATGATGGAACCAGGTCTCAGATGGGCTGTGAATTTATCAACAAGTTTTAAAAATATACTGCAAAAGTTGCACATAAAACATGTTTAATGTAATGCATAACAGTTTTTGTACATTACATATTGTGTATAAACAAATTTATAAAGCGCTCTTGCTCTTCGGAAGCAGAAAGTGTGTTGTTTTGATGCTGATGGTATTTTAGGGGGTTGTGTGGTACCCCACAGTGCTTGCTTCTCCAGACTAATCTAAATCTAGCAGCTCTTTGGATGCACCTTGTGATTCAATAAATGCCCTTGTCCCATGCAAATGTTCCATGTCCTTAGGACTCAAGTTTAAAGGGCCGATGTTCCAAAGACCCTTATTCAAAAGTCTCATGCCAAAAGAACCATGTCCTTAGGACCCCAGTTTAAAGAGTCCATGTTCTAAAGACTCTTGTTCAAAAGGCTCATGCCCAAAAGAACCATGTCGTTAAAATCCGTTTTCAAAAGGCCCATGTTAAAAAAAACTCTGTCAACAAAGGCCCATGTTCTAGGGACCCATTTTCTAAAGGCCTCTGTCATAAAACCCACATTCTAAAGGCCTATGCCTAAAGACCCATGTCCTAATAATCCACATTTAATTCCCAGCTCAGGATAAATTTAAAACACTTCTGGTTGGTGAATCAAAATTTTATACTCCAAACTCCACATAGTGTGCTAAAATACACAAAAATGTTTTACTCTCATGTATGTCTCACTAACTTGTAGTAAATAGGTAAATTGAAAACCACACATTTCTTCTAACCACTGTAATTTAAATTGAAAAACAATTTAATTATTTTTTTATTTTTACACCAGTCATCTATTATGTCTTTTCTTGTTTTATTTCTGGAATTAAAGATAACCTATATTGAAATTTTAATTGTCAACGTTATTCTTTTCTTATAGTAGTTTTCTGCCTTATATTATAACTGAAAAGAAACAGTTTTTACAATTTTGTGAAAATTCAGGTAATCCCATCCTATCTTGGTACGTCTGCTAATGGCGAGTAGAATTCCTAACTGGTCATTGAGTTGTGAGTATTTATTTTCCATTTGGATATCAGGCAATCTACCATTGGTCATTTGCTAATCTGTCATTGGTCAATATACCTTTAAATCATCGTTTAATTTATCCTCAGAGTTTCTTCCAGGCATCTCTTCGGGGGGGGGGGGGGGGGGCTTAGCCCCCCCGAAAATTTTTTACCGCCCCCCCCCCCCCCCATCCGAACGAAATGAAATTTATATAATTTATATAGAAAATATATACTTTTAACAGTGTCCGCCCCCCCCGAAGAAAGTCTACCGCCCCCCCCCCCCCCCGAAAATTTCAAGTGCCCCCCCCCCCCCGGAGAAAAAAGTCTGGAAGAAACACTGTTTATCCTTAATGTGTCTTCTAGCAATCTAACATTTTGTCACTGGTCTTTTGTCACCGGCCAATCTATCATTCTTAAATTAATCACATCCCACTCGCCTTTTACTGGACTTCAGTGTTTCTTCCAGACTTTTCTCCGGGGGAGGGGGGGGGGGGGCTGACAACATTTTCCTGGGGGGGGGGGGACACACTGGTAAAAGTATGTTTTCTATATAAATTCCATTTCGATGAGATGCCTGGATGAAACTCTGCTGGACTTGTATCCTTTGACAATTTGAGTCATTGCACAGTTTGGTGTGGTCGTAATTTTGTCCCAGTCCCACCCAATGACCAGGAACAACATGTGTGTCCCATCTCTATCCCTCCCCCTACGAACACTTTGGCGGAGGGCTCAATTTGTGCGTCCCATACTACGGGTAGCTTTTGAACATGCGCGTTGTTTTGTTACTGCTGGTTGCACTTCAGCCCTCAAGATTTTATTAGCATCCATCATTATAACGTGCAATAATCACAACTGAAAACGGAAATTCCCAAATTCTAAATTAAATTCGCACTCCAAATATTTTAATTGAAAGGAACTACATACATTATTATACACAATTCGTAAATACAATATGTCATAATAAAATATTTTTTATTTTTCATATTGATTAACATGTAGATCTAGAATGTTTTTTTTTTCCTACTAGTAAACCGTAAGCCTAGAAAACAAAGCACATTTTTATCTTTTTTTTTCTTCAAAAATGTGTTTTTATACAGATCTAGATAGATAGATATAAGATAACGTTTTAAAAACAACACGGATATTTCTTAAAACTTAAAACAATAACATGGATTGGTTATTTTCATTCCTCGTGTAAAATTATTTATTTACTTTTCTACTGATCTAGGTTATCAAATAGAAAGTTCTGTTTATTGTCTAATGTGCTTTGGTTTCTATTCCGTGTGGGGTGAACAAGAAATACAACGGACGCAACAGTTGTTATAGTATGAAAACTGCAGACGCAATTTCAAATAAAATACGTGACAAGACTTTAAAATTTGGTTCTAAAATATAGCAGTTATTCAGTTTGGTTAGTGAGCTACCGACAGTGTATTTTGGCTTAATATTTCTTAATTTTCAAAAGTTCATTTGAAAGAATATGAACCAAACGTAAATACTTTTCGAGGACTTTGATTAACTTTGAACTGCTTTCAGAAACTGCGCCGTGTTACGGAACCTGACCACGTGTTGATTTATTTGGTTAAAAAACTAGACTAAGATATTTATCAACATATAAGTGTATAACGAACTAATTGATATTCGAAGATTAGTCTGTATAAATATACTATAGGAGTCTTTTTTTTAAAGACGAAAATTGTAAAAGATCTACGTAGGCCTTCGTGTTATTAGCGTAGTGGTAATCAAACTTGAGATTTACGTTTTCTTATTTAAAAAATACTATGTAGGTTGTTGGCACTGCTGTGATGGTCACCTAAGGAGACTTATTGACAGTTAGATGGAGCGTGTCTTGACAATGCTAGCACACAATTAGAAGGATGAGATATCAAAAGTTATTGACAGGTCCTCGGAGGGGGTAAAATGTGACAGTAAGGGCGATGAAAGGGGCGCTGCAGACCCGCGAGGGCGCCGGTAACCATGGAAACCCGCAATCAGGTAACCATGACTACCCGCAGACAGCGACGAGCGAGCCTGGCGACGCTCGCAAGAGGACGAAGCAGAGGCAGGGGGTCTGGAAAACCTGGGGCGCCGTCAGCTCGAGGCTCCCCCCGGTGCCGCCGGGCAGCGCCAGACTCCCTGACGTCACCGCGGATCACCCAGAGGTCCACCCGCTCAAAACTCAAAGGCGAGCCTCCTTCTCGTCTTCCAACGGCACGAACGTCACCGTCGCGTCGTCGCTACGGAAGCTGAAGTACCTCAGCTTCGGTGACACGGGAGTTACTAGTCTCATGCCCCGGGTGTGTACGAGCCAACAAGATTCAAACCTTGCAGACACGGAAAACGTGATCCGGAAATCAGAGTTTCACGGCGATCGCCTCAATGTAAAAAACTACAACGATACCATGCCGATCTATGATCTGGAAGAAAATGCAGACTCTATGACAGAAACGGGTGAAATCGAACACGTTATCTCAAATAATGTTTTTGGCAAAAAAGTAAGTTTAACGAAAAAATTCCTGGATCTCAAAAACACAAAAGATGTGAAATCACCACGCGACTCACCGAAACACAAAAACCTGGATCGGAAGTCTGGAGATTCGTCCGTGGTTGATGCTGAACCGGAAGTTAGATTTGTGCCGAAACAAATATCCAACATTGCTAACATTAACACCAATAAAATTGGAAGCGGGGAAAACATTTCCACGTTTTTTCAACCTAAACCAAAAGCTCTCCGTCGCGGACGTGAGTATAGCCCTTTATTAATTGAGCCAGTATCGAAGTCCGCTTCAAGTTTTGAATTCGCGCTGGATCTGTACGTGTCCGCGGGAACAGAATCCACGTGCGGGACGGGAACGGTGTCAGAGGACAAAAAAACCCAAGTCATTTTATCCGCGTCACAGCTGACTACAGACACGGAAGCCGACTCTTTCGAAAACACAAAAAGTTGCAAAACTAGAACCGAACCTGAACAACTGAACCAATCCGCTCGTGTTGTCGCTAATTTGAGAGATAATAATAATTACAGACAGCTTAAAAATAGATGCAAGGCTTCTCCACTTAAGCAGGCGCCGAAATTGGTAGAGAAAAAAGACGAACTAGCGTGTGCAATAAAAAGTACAATAGGCGTCGACCCAGGTAAAGTTTTAGTTATTTACAAATCAGAACTGGAGAATGTTTGCGCGTCAGAAGACAGTACTTGTCAAACTTTGACGGAGGATTCGAGTACTTTACAGCCCATGAAAAACGAAACGCTCGCTGTCCATTCCTCTACTGATTTGGACTCTCAGCAGACGACTTGCTCGTCATCAATTCAAGACGTGTACGCCAGCACCGAGTGCGATACGAAAATTCCGGAAATAGAAACCGAGGTTGAGCTAGTTACCACTAGCAAAACAAAAATATGCAAGTCGAGGGAGACTCTTATCATCAGCCATAGTTCTTCCACTGCCGTATCGAACAGCTTAAGCTTTGATAGAATACAAGAGACACTCCCTCATGATTCACAAAGTCAACACATCTCCCAACCCAACACACGTGACGTCGCTGAGCTCCACTGCGTAAGTAAGGGTGATCAATGCTCAAAAACTCCAAGCGACGAAGGCGACCAAACACAACAAAGCCAGGGAACAAATATTTTCACCAGGACTCTTGTCCGGATTACCGACACAGATTCACAAACAAATTCCGACATTTTCACCGGCCACAAAGAAAATAAAATGAACTTTCTGTCGTATTTAGTGAGCTCTGTTGACCACACAGAAGAGCACGTGAGGTCGGTCTCAGATTTTTCCAGCACGGACTCTGACTGTGAGTCACATGACCAAAGCAGACACAGTTTCAAAACCGGACAATCGTCTGATAAAAGTGAACGTAGCAAACAGAAAGCCTGCAGAGTTAAAGGAGCTCTTTCGTCAAAAATTAAAAAAGCTATACATCCGGAGTTGGAGACCCAGGTAGATCGCGAAATGAAAGGTGTTCTAAATATAGAAAAGTTAATCCCGCAGTTCAAGATTTCTCAGAAACAAATGCAACAACTTGCATTATTGGAGACTACACAAAAGTTGTTCAGCTCCGATTCTCTGAGCGACAGCTTAACATCTACACAAGTAACTGAATCCTCACAAACAGAAAACAATTATCCAACAAATCAAGCGGATGTTGAATTTCATAACCGAGGTAATGAGTTGATCGATATTTTTGCCAACCCGGATAACCGAACCGAGAGTTCATTGACCGATGACTCGCTAGATACCCACAGGAGCAAATCGTCGCACAAAACCTCATCACTAGACGACTCCTCAAGCGCGGAAGACACGCCTAGACCCAACTTCCGCCCGCAGACGAGACTGAGGGGGAGTTCCCTGAAAAAACTGGCGAGTTCTCTGTTAGAAGAAACAGATCATAGAGAAAACCGGGAATGTAAACAATCTAAGACGGGGTTTGACCACAGCGAGAGCGATGATGAAGACGATGCTTCAACGAGCGTCAATTTGCACCAAAAGCAGAGCAAGGCGAAGAGTAAACGAAAACACGGCAAGACTAAAAGCGAGAAGATCGGGAAAGAAATAGCAGAAGAGGAATCTAGCGGTTATGTTAAAAATGAAGAATTTAAAAAATCTGCGCAAAGACGATCAACGTCACCAGACGAATCACGAAACACTTCCAGGAAATCCGCGAGCTTGCTGCCAGATTTATCCAGTTCAAAACATTCGGAGAAAAGTCATGGAAAGAAACGCACAAAGGCTGGCAAGGAGCTGGAGAAGACGGCTAAATCTAAATCTACCAAGGATCGCGCGGAACAAACAATGGGCAAGGATCAGGAGC